GGCATGCTTAAATACTATTATTATATGATGAGAGAGACGAGGCATTGGGGGGCCAAAGACTTCACGAGCGCCGCCCCAGGGGTCGGCGGATATACTGGAGTCCCCCCTCTGCATAGAAAGCTACAGTATCTCTCTGACTGGAGTGGGGTAATGAGCCGGTCGTTGTGGTTATTGGCCTGGGTCATAATCTTCCAAGCTAAATCCAGTTTGTAACCTGTAGTTCTCTTTGTTTCGATTGTAGATATCTCTGCTTCGGAAGCCCCCTAAACCCTAAACTCTCAACCCTAAACCCTAAACCCTAAACCGTGGAAGGCTAGGAACCCACCATAGATGCACTCATAGCCCGAAAGTTGAGAGACCCAACGATTGTTCGGATGATGCCAAAGCTCGCTGACTCGCGCGCATGGGCCGAGCAAAAACTGTGGAAAGGAGAACTTTAAGCCCCAAACCCTCAAACCCCAAACCCTAAACCCTATATAACCCCACTATAGTAGTTTCCATTTTCTTTTCCATTATCCCTATAAACTCTACATTCTAAACCCTAAACCCCAAACTGTGGAACGGAGAGAAGATATGTTAGTCGCAGGCCCCAGCCGCGCTCCCGCGTCATTTGCAAGTTGCGGACGGCCGCGAGGTTCAGAGCTTCATGGTGTCCGGGTTCTAGGGTTTGTGAGGACAGTGGGATTGTTCCCTTGTTGGGTGTCCCTTTGGTGATTACCCAGGACGGTATGGTTTGTTGACAGGAAGGCGGGCCTCCTGTGGATACCTGGAAACTAACATGGAAACCCAAAAAGGGCGCCATAAAGATTACAGTCCCTTTAAAAAAGGGGGCTATGTGGGGTTCCCTTTTGTTTGGTGAGTGTAGTCACAATTTTTTGGGTCATCTCTCCCAAGTAATGAGAGCTGTGTTCTCAAAAGGCACCCGGTCTCAAGACCATAGTTGTGGCAATCCCTTCCTTGCACAGAATTTGTTGGCATACTGATGATGATGATTGTAATGGTGATGGCAGTCGCAGGGATTAGCCAGCGCCGCGCCCGCATAGTAGAGGTAAACGCTGGATTGATACAGGGGCTGCCGTCTAAAATCATGAACTCACCGAGAACGCAGTGCAATTATGTTTCAGACTCGGAGCCTTCCAAAATGACCGCAAAAGCCCGGTCCTTATTCAATACCTTATTGAAGAGATCCATAGAACAGTATCCATAATCGTGAAGGCCCAATGTAATCCTTACAAAGCTCTCCATAATCGCTATGTACCCTCACACAGAGACCCAGAATGTCCAGAAAGTTCAACTTCATGCACTGCTTGGATTGATGTACTTGTCAAGGGTTGTTAGGAGGTAGTACCCATATTACCCCCAATAAGCTACAAGGGTCCCCATTAACGGTCCCTCCTAAAGCCCCTTTAACTTGGTGCAGGCCACTCCCACACGTGGTTTCTTGGGGCGTCTTCGAGGAATGCTTCAGGATGGCATCATTAACCAGGACGAAGGGGATTGTGATACTCCCTCTGTCTGGGTTGCTGTTAAGGAACTTAAATTAAGTTACCATAATGAGTATCTATAGTAAATAATAGGGTTTCCCCAATATGGTAACTTAATTTAAGTTCCTTAACAGCAACCCAGTTGGAGGCAGGGTACATAAGGGCTTCTGGAAATGCTAAGGGTACCTAGGGAACTTTTCAATAGACGTGGCTCAAGGAGCACCCTTCAAAGCAGAGAGTACATGGAAGCTAGGAGCATTCTAGAGTTTTCGGCTTTTCAGACATTGGGTTTTGGTCTTTTTTTGGGCGGGCGACCCTCGTTTTTGGAACCTCCATATTGTGGGAGTTTCTCCAAAGAACCCCTGGAAAATGCCAAATAAGAACCCGGATAATCCCCTGATAATTTACGTTCCGCATACATCCCTCGGCTCGGAGCCCTCTCTCTTGAGAAGCTCTCATGTCATAAGTTTTGGATTCCTGCCCTAAACCCTAGCCCTGTGAAGAAAAGGCAAAAACCCTAAACCCTAAACCTTAAACCCTAAACCTTAATCCTAAACCCTAAACCCTCTCCCAACACCTATACCCTAAACCCTACGACTGTCGGGTTGATTGCCTTGGCCCGACGCACGGCTTGAGTCGGTCAGGAGCAGTTCGACATGATGCGCTCCCCGAGGTAGTTTAAGAGTCAAGGTTGCAGGGTTTAGGGTTTAGGGCGTTTAGGGTTTACAGTTTAAGGTTATTTGGGATTTAGGGCGAAGGTTTAAGGGGTTCAGGGCTTGGGGTATAGAGTTCAGAGCTCTGGTTTCAGGGTTTAGGGCTTGGGGTTTAGGTTTGGTGCTGAGGTTTCAGGGCTTAGGGCTTGGGTTCAGGGTTTAGGGCTAAGGGTTTCGCGCGTCGTTTCACCGCATGGCACAAAGTCCATTGCTTCGCAGTTTCACGTAGATTGAGCATTAAGCTCGCCGGGCAGAACAAGAAAGGGCCTTCCATTTGCTGTGCTGCGGTTGTGGCAATTCTTGCTAAGTATTGGTAGAGGTTGGGGTAATGGATCCGATTTCATTAGGCACCAAAAATCTTAACGCGATAGTAGTTTACGTTTTTCATTCCTTCCACCCCAGGCCCGACACCCCAGGCCCGAAATTGTAGTTTCAATTTCCTCTTGCACTCCTTCACAGAATCCCCAAGACTAGTCCGGGTAAAGGATAAGCGGCAACCTTGCTTCCTCAAAGAAATCTCTACATAATCCCTATAAGGCCCATAAAACCAGTTTCCGTTTCATTTTGCATTCTCAGTGATTGTCCATAATGGGGCATCCCTAAACCGCCTACTTGCTGTTAATATCAACCTACATTATGCAAGCCCTGTAGTGCTTATCTATACCGCTCAAGTCCTAATGTGCCAAAGCTTTTCAGGCCCAAGCCTGCCCTCGGCCTTTCAGCTTCAGCATCTGTGCCACTTTCAACCACTCTACGCCTCTTGCCGTGAAATTGGCTGCTGTTTGAGGGCAAGGTGGTGGTGGTGGTGGTGGTGGTGGTGGTGGTGGTGGTGGTGGTGGTGGTGGTGGTGGCGGCCTTGCAATCCAACCTGTAACCCGGCAGCCTTGTCTACTCCTTGTAACTCTACTTATCCCAGACGTCCCGAACCCTTGAACCCCATTAAACTGAGGCCCTTACACTTAGCATGGATGTGTCTGCGCAAAATCGTGCCCATGCAAGAATTGAGAGATTTAGGTAACTTGCATAAAAAAGTAATTTGCATTGACCCGCATCAAACTGCGGCACGCATCCGTTTTTTTTTTTGCTCTCCCTGTCTCTCTCACCCCTCTCTTTCTTTCTGTCTTCCTTTCCACTTTCAGGCTGCGTACTATACCTCCATGTGTACACAGCCATGCACGCTCATTGGTATGTTTCCAGATTCAAGTCTCCCATCCTTAAAAAAGACGTTTTGGCACGTTGCCTCCCCAAACATACACAGCCAGGCATGAAGCCGGCCGCTAGACCCCAAAACCTGAACTCGAAGCTTTAAACCTGAAGCCCTAAACCCTGAACCTTAAACCCCGAAATCCTAAACCGATTTGATTCTGTAGACCTACCGTATTGTGCCTGGGGTACTTCTCCGTTCTCGAGATGTTGGCGAGTGCAGATTGACACGTTTCAATGCGGTATGGCTATGCAAGCGTGCAAGCGGCAAAGCCCTGAAACCCCTAAACCCTTAACCCGAAACCCCTCAACCTTAAACCCCTAAACTCTGAACCCCAAACCACCAAGTCCCCCCCAAAAAAATAAGAAACACACACAAATACCAGCATCCCAAGGCGATGACCGACAAGAAGAAGCTGACCCAAGCCGAGCTTTTGGAGCTCCTCAGCCCGCCTCCCTTCAACCAGAAGCCCGGGCCTCAGAATGAAGAGTGGAAAGAGCCTATAGGGTTTAGGTTGGGTACTGCCCCTACCCAGTAACAGTCTATACTAGGGGTCCTATTAAGGACTATATATAGCTATATCAAAAAATATTATCCAACTGTTACTGAGGGGGGGCAGTACCCAAGGTTTAGGGGCTTGGCATTGTAGGGTACCAGGCGGATTCAGAAAGCCTGTTGCAAAAGGGTTTAGGGGTTACGGTTTAGGGTTTAGGGTGATGCCTCTTGATGTTAGCAATACATGGGCCTTACCGACTCCTTTTACATCCATGGTCTACATTCTCGCTTTGAAGTTTTCCTGCAGACACTAAGTTCGATTGCAGTTCTCATGTGCTTTTCCATTTGACTCTCCTTCATCCCCTAGCCTCTCCTGAAATTGCTCTTCATTTAACGCCTGCTAGACCAACCCAACGCCATGAACCCTAAATCCTGAAACTCAAAACCTAAATCGGATATAATCGGATGTGGATGTGGCGGGTGGCTTGGTCCAGAATGAGCAACTTCCGCAGTCCAACCTAGTTGTTGTCGGTAGAGAGCGTCCCAAAAATCTTTCCCTGACACTTAGGCTGATTAGCTACCTGAAGGGCATAATGAGCGTGCCCAAAAACAGTTGTTGACTGTAGATGATGATGAGCCTGCTGCAGGATTTAGGGTTTAGGGTCTCAGCCCCTTCAAGGTGGTTATAGAGGTATATAGGTCACTCTAGGATTTTCTATGAAAAAACCTTTATGATCGTTTGCTAGGCCGCCTGAGCAGGTCTTCCTTGAAGGGTGTTTTGTTGTTTGCCCTGGCATTGGGACGCAAGGCCCTGGCAGCAATGCGATTTAGAGTTAAGGGTATAGGGGCCAGATACAGCATGGCGGAGACAGGGTCTGGTTGAAAAGATAGCCTAGAAGGCAAGCCCTAAGCCTTGCCAGTGAGGAAGTGCGTGCCGCCTGATGCCGTCATCCAGACTTCCCCAGAGGAGCGTTGGTGGAGGCTGGGCTATTATCGTGCTCATCAGAATGGTAACAGTACCATGAACGATAATCATACCTTCAGGCTTTATCTTTGAGGTTTTACGTTTTCTTCTGCAACATAGGATTTGTTTGGGACCGCCTGCTTCGTTCCTTGGAGCAAGTTCAGGAATTTTGCCCTGCATTTGGCTCTCAGCACCAGGACTTATCCCTAGAAGGACCACTGCGTCAAGAACCTAGTGCAAAGCTTACGTCCCCAGTGCTTCTCCCACATATCTACATAATGCCTACAGAACAAACCCCAAGCGATGCTTCATTGCAAGACTGGGTTGCTGTTAAGGAACCCATGTTGATTACTGTATATACCCATTCTGGTAACTTAATTTAAGTTCCTTACCAGCAACCCCAGAAGAAGGGACCGGCTCCTCAGCTTGCAGGTCAGACTCGCCGCGTCTTCCCGGTGACGAATTCCCAGATGTCCCGGTGCAGAAAGCGTCTGGAGCTTGGCAAATCAACTTGCTAGCGACTGCTAGTGGTTAGTGGAAATGGAAGAATCGATATTTCCCTTTAAGCCCTGTATTCCACCTTCGTTTCCTATTGACTGCCATTAAGGCAATCAAGCTGCATAAGATGCACAGTAGAGACAACCTTGGCGCAACAGCGCTTAGCATTTAGTTTCGAAAGCCATGCGTTTTGTTCTTGTCATTCTGCTTGATAGTTTGCTGACTTCTGGAACTTGGATGGGTAGGTCGAACCCCTCATTGTCTGCGACCGCTGGATCAAAGGCCTTGTGTGTCTGCAGCAGCGTGCCACAAGGAAGTGGGTATTGAATCCGGATGTGTGGTTCCCTTGCACATATGCACCCGCGGTGAACTAAATCAATGAGATAATCCCTCCCTTAACAAGGAAGCCACTGAGCCTAACTGAAGCTACAGTAGCAGTTCCAGCAGAACTGATGACTAACATTCTTTCGCGTTAGTTTTGTTGAAGGCTTCGTCCGCTGGCACCAGGAATGGTCGGATGTTGGTTTGCTTGCTAACAGTAGCGTAGTGTCCATCTCAATCTAACATTGAGTCTGCACCAGCACCCTTATGACTTCCCATTGGTCTCCACCTGCAAGTTTGCATGCAGCCCTGAGCCCCAACCCCTAAAGCCTAATTAAGCTCTAAACCTGCGGAGTTCTGGATCCAGAGCCCGCGGCCCAGACCGTGTGAGTGCATCCTCCAAGCATGTTTGTTGCGATGCTTTCTCGCGTGGGTAGCGGGTAGCCGTGGCCCCGCCTCTGGCTTTTGGAAACATACATCCCTCTTAGGCTATATTCAACAAAGGGCTGAAAGGCCCAGTAGAGCTTCATCAGAAAGCGTGAGCCCCATGTGCTTAAAGCCGCAAACCTGTGCCATTCCCATCACAAAAAATAACATCAAAATCCTTTTTCTGGCGCCAGAAGAGGCTTGCAATCAAATCAGGAAGCAGCTTTTCACCTTGCCTTGGACTCTTAGGGCGGACGGAAAAAGGTCCGATACGAAGCCCTTAAACTGAACCCGAAACCCTAAACCCTAAACTTCCTAAAGTTTAAGCCCAAACCCTGAGCCCTGAAGCGTAAACCCTAAGCCATAGATCCAAACGCTGTCTGTCAGGGCCACGGCGTGCGCTCTGGGCCTGTCTGCTTCCAAACGACTTCGCAGACGGGATGCGGCACCGCTGCACACTTCAAGATGGAGGACACCTTTAGATGCTGGCCTTTGGTTAGCTGGGAATGAAGGAATGGAAAAGAGCATGGGTTATATAGGGACTACTATAGAGATCCATTCTTTCATTCCTAGCTAACCCAAAGGTAAGGATTTCAGGGTTGAATTTGTTCTCCATTGCCTAAGGTTCAGGATAGATTTAGGAAATGCGCTTCAGGGTAGGTTAGTGTCTCGTGTGTTTCTTATTCAAGATTGAAGGTTCAGCGTTGCTGAAACATGGAGAGCCCCGAGACCACCCCAGGCATGTAAAGAGAGTACTACACATGCTGACGGGCTCCATCTTAGATGCTCTAAAGGGAAATTCCGAGCAATTCTCACAAGGGGGATTTCCCTCAAGCTGATGGAATACAGGTTCGCACTGTGACGATGGGTTTTCCGGGATACAAACTCTCACATGTTTGATGCGCAAGGGGCCGATCGAAATATTTCCTTGCTTGGGGCTTCTGTTGATTCGGACCTCTAGGACATAGTTAGGGATTGGGGACGAGATGGACCCAGTGTTTGAAAAAAACGGGTCAAGGCAAGCGATGCAGACGGATTCCTGATGATACGCGACAATGTCTTCATGTTGCAGCACGGAGGTAGCAGGGGAAAAATTGATTGGGGCACATCATCCTGAACCCTCATGGCTGCTGGACACTGGCTGACGAGGAAGGTGTGCCTCCGGTGATTTCTGGCTTCAGCCACGGCCTTGTCTCAAGCCAGTTTGCTAATGATGTCAGCGCTGGCTGGGGCACAATGACGAAATACGACAAGGGCAGCGAGAATATTTGCATAGATTCTTGTGGCAGCTGCAACAAAAGAAAGAAGCAACACTAGCAATCACAAGGAACATTATTCTGTGTCATGCCTCTTATCATGCGACAGCATGAAGAAAATTGTCGCCTTATAGCCCCTGTATCCCTTTCTAAATAAGTACAACAGTAGAATCATAAATCACGATAATACTAATGATAGTAGTAGTAAGTAACCTAATCCGAGATATAATCATAAGAATAGTATTGCTAATCATAGTTCTAGTAGTATTAGTAGCAATAACAATAATGACAGTAGTAATAATACGAATAGCAATAATACGCGGACAGCCGGGACAGCCCGACCAACTGGCCACGCGTTGCTGAGGCGGCCATTTCCCAGGCAAGCAGGGTGCCAACATAATTGGTGCCACCTTTGACAAGCCAAAAGCCTAGACTGGGGTTTAGGGTTTAGGGTTTTGGGTTCAGGAGTTAAGCTACTGCAATAACAAAATTCTATTATTCCATATATTCCCATAATATGGCAGCTTAGCTTAGATTCAGTTCTTCAGCAGCTACAAATCTGGTTGCTCTCTCAGTCTTAGTGGTAGAGCAAAAGTTCTGTATTAGCGCTAGTGCTAGTTTTAGTTTGCTAGTTTTGGCATTCGTATTCGTAATGGTCTGGCATTTGAGCCACAATCGTTAATCTCCATGAAAGAAACTAGTCTTCGGGCGGCCATGGTTCACAATTTCACGCAAACCCTGTTTACCGATAGGGGAAACCCAACACCGATACCCCCTAAGANNCTAAGATGCGGGCGCTTCTGGGAATGAGCATTTTGGTGCGAGCTCATGTAGTATTTTGACTGTCAGGTGCACCCTGGGTATCTGATTGACATAACTTGGGGCTTGCGAAGGGTACGGCACTCTTGAGGACTGTATTGATGTTGTTTTGAGAGGTTACCATTGGCCAACTCTTTAAGGAGGAGCCTGAGCAGCACGAAGCAGATTTCTATCTGATAACTTTAGGGACCAGACTTATATGGCATGCTACTGAGCCCTCAACCCGAAACCCAGCGAGAGTTTAAAGCGGCGGGTCCGGCATTCTACTTTGGCATATTGTGACATCATTTCAGTTTGGATCACTGGACGGGGCCTCGAACGTAGAAACCTCCTGCACAGGGGCCGACGCCCTGAAACGAAGCCCGTGGTTCCCAGGTCCTATACGGAGTCCCTGTCGCACACCATCTCGCTTGGGAAGTGATGCTAGTCAAGGAGGCTCTGCCAATGGCCCGGAAGCTTAATGCCATCGGCTATGCAAACATACGGGGTCAAGCAAAGTCATGTTGGTTTTCCTGCAGGGCCCATCTGAAGCATGAGAGTCGTAGAGAGTCAAATGGGAAAGACCATGGACAATTAAATGGAA